TAAAAATTATTTTTAACTTTTTAGTTCGATGTACTTTAAAAGCGTGTTTTTTTAGTTTTTTAAACTATATTTATTATTATAGTGATTTTAATCAATTAATGCTGGGTATTTTTTATTATTAATATCAACACATAGATTTATTTATGTGTTAAATTAGGCAAACAAATACATTGTAGATATAATCAATGTTAAATGTTTAGTGCATGCAGTGAGAAAAATGTGTTTCTTATCTCGTATGTTTCAAAATTTTCTTGCATGCAATTACATGCAAATATTCATTCTTGAATGAATATTGTTCTAAAAATTGATNGCAATTACATGCAAATATTCATTCTTGAATGAATATTGTTCTAAAAATTGATATATTATGTATAATCTAGTCTCATTTATTTAAAATTTTACTCATTGTGTCAACGCTGTTTCCTGTGATTACAATAAATCTTGTGCACAAAATCGAAAATTGTGAAACATTTTATTTTATTTACGAAGGTATTTTATTTCATTTTAAAATGAGTAAATCAAGTGTTATTTGGAATTTTTTTCAACTTGATGCAGTTAATATTCATGTAAAGTGTGGACTTTGTCGTATAAAATTAAAAAATAATCATTCTTCGACTTCAAATTTAATTAGACATATTAAATCTTAGCATCCATTAGTAAATTTATTTAATAGAATCATGTAATAGAAGATACGATTGATGACCCAAATATTACTCCATCAACTTCTACTTCAGTAAGTTAAATCTATATATCACAATTCCCATGATTCAGAATTTATTGATAAGACGTTTTAAACTAAATTCAATTCTTAATAGTCCACACTGAGTCATTGAGTCACAGTACCATGGCACACTGATTCAGCTCATTCAGTTTACCTAAAACTAACTCACGAACTACCCATCCCTAATTAGCAATCTCTTGTCATTCTCAAGCTGCGTATACGGAAAGCACGTAAAACAGCTAAAAATATTTCTGTCAAATCATATTTTGGCTGAAAAATGTTATGTATAAGAATTTTAGCAATTACATTGTCTGAGTTTTAATTGCTTTCTTCATATAAGATATGCCATTCAACCTGCTGTAAAATAAAAAACACAGCACGATGGGGTCACGGCACAGTGGAGACGTAGCATAGTTGGGTCAAGTATAATGATATCTGATAGTGATTAAAATCACTATCATAAATAAATATAGTTAAAAAAAAAATAAAAAGCACGCTTTTAAAGCATATTGAACTAAAAAGTTTAAAAATAAGCTTAAAACAATAATAAACGAAAAATACTCATATTATTGTGAAAAAAAAGAGTCGGGCGCTTTATATACAAAAAATATGGCTCAAAGCCCTCACACAGCGTGTTTTTCAGTTTTTTTAACTATATTTATTTTTTACTTTTTATGACATCGCTGTCACAGTCACGGAGTGTTTATTGTAAATTATGACTATCAATAGATATAATTTCTGTATTGCCAGTTAGTGTTTTCAAAACTCACAACAATGTGTCTTATGACCATTGATAATAAAGGCTATATAACTATACAGGGTGTTCAGTAAGTCAGGAAACGGGTATCTATTGTTCTCATTGTTTGTAACAATGAGAACAATAGATACCCGTTTCCTGACTTACTGAACACCCTGTATAATAAGGCTATATATCGTCATAAAAAACCAACTAGTTTCCTGTATTTGTATTCCCTTATATATTATACATGTATATTAACTCAAAAAAAAATTGAATCTTTAAATGTTTATATCTAAAGCCCCTCATACACGGTCAGTTATGAATGACAATCAACGTGATTGACAGTCAAGTGTGATCATTAGGGTGCCCCTTATTTATTAAATTTAAAAATTACAAAGTGCCACCCCCTAGAATTATTCGAATAAATGAAAAAATAAATTGTACAAAATTTGGAGACGATTGGTCAACTGTAAGACGTGCCCCAAGGGGGTTAAAAATAACCCTCCAAGGGTGATTTTTTAGTTTTTTTTGTCTATCTCAAAAACTATAGCTTTTGCGAAAAAGTTTATTTGGATTTTTTTGTAGGTATACAATTTTTCTATAAAAAGTATGTTTACAAAAATTTTTGAAAAGTTCTTATTTAGCCTTAAAAAAATAAAAACGTAAATAAATTCAAATTGGCCCCGAAACAAAAAAAATTTCTGAATGTCTGTTACCACTTTTTCTCAGCCCTCACCGAACCGATTTCTTTCAATGATACGTTAAAGATCACAAATCGTATCTAGTTCTCCAACTTCCTGGTTCCACATTTCCTGTAAAAATATTTCCATTTTATGTTGACGTAAAAAGTTGAAGATGGCAGCAGGCACGAACGATTATTGTGGTTTTTTCTGGACTTAAATTGATTGTTTTTAAAAGTATTCGAAATCGTGATGCTAGAATACCAAAAGTATTTTCAATTATTTTTCGAGCTCTCGACAATCTATAATTGAATATACGTTTTTATTTGCTTAAATTTCTATGTGGATAGGGTTTCATTAGATTATTTGAAAGCGGAAAAGCATCATCCGCTACAAAAACATAAGGCAATTTGTCACTTATTCCTGGTAGATAAACCAGTTCCGGATTCAATGTTTTATTTTTATTTTATTTACAGGAAGATATGTTTGTAACGAGACCCCCTGCAACTCCTAAAACAATTATTTCACACGAACCATACAAAAAGAAAAAAAAAACGGAAAATTATGAAGAAAAGAGGAAGAATGATTTACTAGAATTAGCATGCAATCACCTACAACAATCCATATATGATAACGACATTTTAGCGAAGTCATGGGCAATTGAATTAGAAAAACTTGAACCTCATCAACCACTGTTCGCTCAAAAAGCAATTAACGATGTCCTTTTTGAAGCCCGCTTAAAAACTCTCCATCGTAATTCGGTAAAAATTAATCATTCTTGCGTATGTTCGCGCTCTTCAACACCATCTATGTTTGTTCAACCTGCGCCTGTATATCTATCTACAAATTCGAATTTATCACTATCTGGTCATGTATGGGAGACTTCAAACGTTTTAAACATAACAGCTTATAATAGTTTCAGTGAACTTCTTACCGACACTCTATACACAAATTAAGATGAATTACTTTTTTTTTTCTAACAGTTGAAACAAATTTTCTTCTTCTTCTTCCGCGCCTTAATCTCAACTACTTGAGGTCGACCATCCTTATCCTAAACTTCCACTTGACACGATCTCTCACATTATCTACGCTCACATTAGCTGTCTTCATATTGGCTTTAATAGCATCACTCCATCTCTTTATTGGTCTTCCTCTATCTCATCTTACTTCAACATTAATTTCTATAACTGTTCTTACAGCTTCTGATTCTTCTTTCCTGATACCATGACCAAACTGTTCTACTTTCTTATCAACCGCCCAACACTCTGAACCATACATCTTAGCTGGCCTCACTACAGTCTTGTAGAATTTACCTTTCAGCCTCATTGAAATTCTTTTATCGCATAAGACGCCAGACGCTTTTCTCCACTTCAACCACCTGCACTGTCTTACATGATCATCAATACCACCACTCTTTTGCACAACTAACCCTAAATACTTAAAAATCTCCACCTCTCCAATCACGTCCTCGCCTATTGTCACTGACCTACTCATTTCACCTACCTCGTGTTCTCCTTTGTCAAACTCGTACTCTTTACATTCTGTCTTACTTCTACTTATTCTTAAACCCTTTTCTTCAAGAGCTAATCTCCACACCTCTAGCCTTTGATTAATTTTCACCCTATGCTATCATATTAACACTATATCGTCAGCAAACAACATGCACTATGGCACCTCTACTTGTATTTCACTAGTAATTTCATCCATCAATATAGAGAATAAGTAAGGGCTTAAAGCAGAACTTATGCCAGTTAAGATTAACTGATATTTTAACTAATTAACTGAAAAAAGCAACGTCATTTCAACAGAAAATTAAATTAATTTAATTAAGTTAAAAAGTTTATTAGAAAAATATTTTACTAATCAAGTTTAAAAGTTAAAAAAAGTTAACTTTTTAACTAGTTAAAGCTCACCATTGGTAATATGATCAAATCATCTTCTAAGTCTATTTTACAATCAAGCGACAGTTGTAACTTCATATTTGTAATTAAATTTTGTGATAAGAGCATTTTAATTTGATAGTATTTTATCAGTATGAACGCGTGAGCGGTTTTTGCCCATTTTTTTAAATGAAAACATTCAGTTAATTCCTTCGTAAGAAGATAGTTTTGTTGTATGTAATATTATGTTAGTTTCTTCTCTATTAAAAAATTGTCAATTGTTAATAATATGAGTGTAGTTAATTTACGGACAGTTAAACGTGAATTTTCAAGTCTTAAACGTAGACCAGACTTTCTATATCCAAAATTATGTGATGATTTAAAAACAATTCTAGAGTATTCTAGTAAATATTTTTAAAAACGAAATTTATGTGATTGTTTAATATTTTTCCTTTTTTTGTTTTAGGTTTACTAGATTTATATGAGCCTATGTTAAGCAATATTAATGATTGCATATTAATTAAAATAATTAAACATGTAAATTAAAAATATTTAACATGAGTGTTTTAGTATTATAATTAAAATTTTATATTTTAAGGTTTCTGATGTGTGCTACTCAAATTCATTAAATAATGAGGAAGCAATTGTTATATTTTTTAAATTTTTAGTTAAGTTACACATTGAATACTGTCCTAATGAGTCAGTTAAAAAAACAATTATAAAGTAAGTGTTAATAGAATAATTCTTTTAACAGGTTATGTTCACTATGTATTTCAATGTTTAAATATGTTATATATCTAGGTGTTTTAAATTGTGTCCAGATGAAAAACAAGCTACTCTAAGAACTTTATTTTCTTCGGATCTTATTAAAATAATGGAAAGAGAGCATAATTTTTCAGAAGCAGAGTTCTTATTTAAAACTTTAAGTAATTGTTGTGAACAATTTCCAGAAATAATTCTTCAGTGCACAAAAAAAATTATTATTTTTTTAGAATTTCATCTTCAAAAAGCATATTATTGTTTATCAGGGTGAGCTCTCAAAAAATTAAAAATTAAACTAAATATTTAAAATTTTAGGTATAACATTGTATAGCTTTAGTGTACAATATAATAAATGTGTTCTAAGATATGAAGTTTTTTTTAGCGATGAAAGCAGTCCAGTTACAAAAATATCTGCTATTAGATGTATACATGAAACATTTCGATTTTTTCTTAATTTTTTTAAACGAAATTTGATTAATACATCATTGTCACCATCATTAAATGAATATTTTGTAAAACTACAATATAGTAATTATTTACCCATGGAAACACTTTTTAATTGTACTTTATCTATAGTCTCATTTCATCTGACTTCTATGACTCCATTGGAATTTTGGAAGGTTTGAAAAATAATTCTTATATTATACTTAAATTTTATTACTATGAAACTATAAGTTTATCTAGAAAATAACTAGTAGTATTGATGTTAAACTAACAGTAATAAAATTTATATTTTATAGGTTTGTCAGAAAAATATCTTGTCAGAACCAGATTTTATTAAATTAAGTTTATGTGTTTCAATATTAAACACTTTTTCATGGCAAGATCTAATACTTGTGGAAAATTATAGCGAAAAATCTTTATTCTCATACTTGTTTGATATTATTGTTAAAATTTACAAAAGGTATAAAATAGTTAATATTATTAACTATTAATATTAGAAAAATATTTTGATAAATACGTTATATATAACATTTTTAATAACTGTTATGTAGAAGTTCAAATGATAGCAGTATTATATTATCTACAAGTCGAGTTGTGTTTATTATTTCTAAACGGCTTAGTAATTGCTGTAAAATACAAATAGAGAAGATTGAACTTGAATTTTTAATTGATTTTGTGTGGGACCATTTGGATCATTATATTGATGGAGTTAGGCATTTAGCTAGAGATACATTGTTAAATATAATTAAAATTAAAGGTAATAATTTTATGCTTTTCTTTTTTTTAAAAAATAGGTTATTTTATTAATTCTTATTACTTAATATAGATGAATATGTATTAGAAAAAATACTGTGCAGTTTATCTGCATGTAATCGAAATTCTAAAGCTTTTATTGTTGTACTAACATTACTAGCTGATAAAAAAATTTCTGAAGACATAATTAAATATTTACCTTGTGTTTCAAACGAGTTATTATCATTGATGAGTTCAAGTAATTCAGTGAGTTAAATAAATGTGTTAATTAAAAAAATATTTCAAGCTTTTTTTAGTACTATCTATATAAAAATCTATGTACTTCTTAGTACATGCTAATGAAGTTATTTGATGAATTTTTGTTTTATAAATTAAATTAATTTTATCTAGGTAGAGTTATACTTGATATTTTGACAGTATTTATATCTTTTTTCCAGTAATTTTTATATATTTACACTATATTCTAATTATATTGCTTGTTATTTATTTTAACAATGACCAATTTTTTTTCCCATTCAATAAAACTATTGTTTAGTACTTTTAATACCATATTAAATTGATGGATGATTAAAAAAAATTGGACAAGTATATTTATAAATGATATTTAATCTGCACTAGTTTTTCATATTTAATATAAATCTAATCTTTTCTTTTTAACTATCATAAGTATTAATATTTATCAATCCATTAGTATTTTTGTATGAAACCTGCTAAATAATGATTATACCAAAGACTACTGTTTTTGAAAAGGTGTTACATGGTATTATGAAAGAATTTTTTTTAGCTATATGATTAAAATTCTTATCTATTTAACTTCCCTGATTTTAATCATCTGATTAATCTATTTTAAATTAATTTTTTTAGGATTTTATGTGCTATATATTTATTAATTAAGTTAACTATCCCATTAACCTAAGAGTTATTAAAAAATTATAATTATTTCAATTTTTATATATATTATGCATTAAATTAGAATGAAACTAGGCTCTGCCCCAGACCCAGAGCCCTTCGAGCCTTACGCGCCAAAGGCGCGTAAGCCTCTTTGAGCCGTAATCATAAGTAGACCACTGATTCCGGTAGGGGTACCCGGCTATGCCGGGCACCATTAGTGTTTTTCAGAAAAAATATTACTTCAGAATCAGTGTAACAAAACTATATATAAAAATGTTATTAATAAAATCAGGAAAATTCAAAAAGGGAATATAGTAAAATGTATTGGGTATAAGGTTTGTTAATGAGGTATTCCCTTTAGGCCTATTCAAAAATTATTTTAGGAGGGTATTTAATATTTTTTATTTTGTTAAACATGTTATAGAAATTTTTTTGCTAAAAATTAAAGTAATGATTGAAAAAAAGGACATTAGGTCTTTATTTATTAGAAGTTGCCTAAAAAAATATTGATAGCGCTGGTTCAAGGGGGGCCCATATCTCTCTTAAATACACCCCCGTTATACAACAAAATTATTAATAATCTAATTATAATAATTGTGTTTATATTATAGAATAATTAAAAAAAAATTCTGCAGGTTATTATACGTGGCACATTGTAAAAAATTTAATTTTGATAAAAATATTATTAACTGCGATTTAACGTTGGACAGCATAGTTATCATAGATGAATTCCAATTCAAACGATTAACTCATACTTTCATACATCATATATGAGAAAAAAAAGATTATTATTAATGTACTGTTCTGATAATGAAAGTACAAACTTATATAATTATAACGTCTTGAAATTTATATATAACATATAATATTCCTTGATAAAATATAGTGCAAATGCAAAATAGTGTCCTAATAATAATACATATTACACCATATAATTAAGGTTCATAATAAACGTATGAACAGAAATGAATCACTGCGCATATTAAAACGATGCGTGTGGACTTAAAAAAAAAAAACTCGTTTAACAGTGACAAATGAACGGTTTAAATTGTTTTTTTTATCATATCTCAGGAATGTCATTGGGCGGGTCTGATGAAAATTTCAAACCTTACGTCGTAAAACGCTGGCGTCAGTGAGCGTTTTTCTCAAAAACGGTCAAAATTTTAAAACGCTCACAGGCGAGCGGCAAAAATTTTCCGACCTTCGCCAATAATTTTCCCGGACTCTGGTGACTAAGTACTTTCGTTGAAAAAAAAAATTTTGAAAATCCGATTAATTTTTCTCGGATTTAAAAAAGTAATTTTTCCAGAAAAGCGTTTTTTTCCTTGTTCTATTATATAATAAGATTTTTATAACCACAATAGAAATAATTTGTCAAAATATTATTTATAAATACATTAAATTATCACTAATTGGTTTATCTAAAAAAATATGGAAACTACTATGGTATTTGAACAAAACAGAATTAACAATTAAGAAAAAATTTCTAAAAATTAATTACAATTTACTAAGAATTTTGTACCTTAGTGATGTAGCTAGGAGGCTGATAAAATTGCAGACCTCCTTCGAAGTTAATGATCTGACCGAATTATTTATTAAACATTTTCTTTTTAAATTAATATTAAGCAAAAATAATATTATAAAATACTAAAACATTTCTTCAACCCCTTTCCTGTTAAATATTTTCTAGGTATGTCTATGATTTACTCCCTTATAAATAATTACACTGTACTTTTTGTGTTTATTAATTGAACACACAATTATTACAATAATATAAAATAAGTTAATTAAAGTATTAATATTTTCATGAAATATTTTCATGAAATATTTTTGAATATTTGCTTTTATATTTATAATTTTCTCTCAACTATGCAAAAAATTTTCCTAATTTCACAAACAATGTTTAACTACATTTAAAATTATAGCCTTAAGTATTAAATACATGAATTCAAGGTGATAAGTTTGTTAGTATACAAAAAAAAAATAATAATAATTTTGAAATAAATTATGAATAAAATGAATTTTATAAATAGATAATGAGGTAGAATCCAATTGTGTCTTTATGTACCCACCATAATAAAATCCTAAATGTACTATAAAAACAGTGATAGATGGGGACAGGCTCCCTTGTGATGCCATGATAAAAAATGTTTAGGGATATAATGATTTGAAATTTTATTTAAGTAGGAAAATAAAAAATATATATAATAATTAAAAATTATTTAAATCTTGCAAAATAATATTATTTTATTCTAGGCTATACATGTATTTTTATCTTTAATGACTGATAATTTAACCAATACAGAATTTGAATTATGGTTTAACTATTGGATACAACCATTATTTCATTGTGCTGATACTTTAGATGTAAAATATATAGAACAAATACTAAAAAATGCTGTTCAATTATCACCAAATATTTCTAAAAAATTTATTAAGTACGAATATTTTTAATTATTGCAGTTAATATAAGTAAATTCTTATCTATTGTTTATACATAACACCATAATTCTGTGACATTTAATATTTTTATTTGTTTTTATAGTTCATTGTGTTGTAAAAATAATTAATTTTTTTAAATATAGAATGTATTTCAGAGTTTTGCAAAAAATTATATTTAATATTATAATTAAAATTTTATATTCTTTATTTACATACTTTTTAATTAAGAAAAAGCAATTCAAAGTATAGCAGAAAAGCAAAAGGAGAGAAGACTGGATGGAGTATAAAGGCTTGTGCAAAGAAGCCAAGTTTGCAGTAAGTAAGGCAAAGTTTAAGAGGTTTGATGAGTTGTTTGTATGATAGGCTAGGAACAAAGGAAGGCGAGAAAGAAATCTATAGACTTGCAAAGATAAAAGAGAAAAGGTCTAAAGATTATCATTATATAAGGTGTATAAAAAGTGTTGATAATAAGGTACTCTCGAGTGATGATGATGTGAAAAAAAGGTTGAAAGAGTATTTTGCAAAATTATTGAATGAGGTGTACCCAAAAGAGACATTAGTGGATATCTCGTGGAATGAAGGACTGGTAGATTTAATTAGTGAGAAAGAGGTATGGGAGGCTGTGGCGTCAATGAAAAAGAATAAAGCAGTAGGACCAGATCAACTGCCAGTAGAAGTATGGAAAATATTAGGCGGTGTTGACATAAGGTGGTTGAAGGAACTTTTAAATAAAATCTTATTTGAAGGGAATGAGAATAAGTGTAGCAGAGATGATAATGCTTAGATGGATGAGTGGAGTGACTAGAAAAGATAGGATAAGGAACAAGCATATAAGAGGGAGTATAGGTGTAGCGTCAATTGTGGATAAGATGAGAGAAAATAGACTTAGATGGTTTGGTCATGGTATAAGGAAAGAAGAATCAGAAGCTGTAAGAACAGTTATAGAAATTAATGTTGAAGTAAGATGAGATGAGGAAGACCAATAAAGAGATGGAGTGATGCTATTAAAGCCAATATGAAGACAGCTAATGTGAGCGTAGATAATGTGAGAGATCGTGTCAAGTGGAAGTTTAGGATAAGGATGGTTGACCTCAAGTAGTTGAGATTAAGGCGCGGAAGAAGAAGAAAATTTATAAACCTTTTAATTCATTTATACATTTCAATATGTTTAAAGACTCAGATAATGTTTAATAATTCGCTAATTTTGAAATCAAATGTATTATACTGTGTTTTTAAATTTTAAATGCAATATTTATTTATATCAAAAGATTTTTTTTTAAGTGCTGTTACTATTATATCATTAATACATGATTGTATAATTTTTGAACAATGCTCTTAATGAATGCTTCATTTTATTAGTTACATCTAAATATAATAAAATAATAAGCATTTCTACTATTTTATTTAACATTAATGACCAATAAAAATTATAGTTTTTTATTAATCATTGTTATTATTTTTTAGAATGAAAGATGAAAATAAATTTTTTTTGAAAATATCTCTTATTTGTTTTAAAATTGAAAAGCAAATTAATTCACAAAATATTGAATGCATAAATTGGATAGATATGATAACTGTAGAGACTATGAAAAAAGCTTTGCATAATAATGATAATGAAGTAAGATTTTTTTTTTTATAGTAAAAAATTGGTTAAATTTAATGTGCTTAAAATATTTAGAAATAATAAACAATTTTATATTTACAGATAAGAATTATTGCAGTAAATTTAATTTTAGATAGTCATAAAACAACAAAGTCATTTTTGAAGGAAGAACTTGAACTAATGAAATATTTTATCATATACAATGTCAAAACTGAAGAAGCATCAATAAGACAAATCAATTTAAGTCTTGTAAAAAAAGTTTGTAATTGAAACTTCTATCATTTACTTTTATTTTCTAATATATCCTTTAATATTATATGTTTAAATATTATATGAAAGTTAGTAAATAAATGAGGTCTGATTTAAATATTTATAAGAAGATTGGTTAACATTCCTATTTAAGTGCTAGTACAGAAGGTGTAAAGTGTAGCCTTTCACCAGAGCTTACACTTTAATTTAAATATTCTATTCGTTATGAATGTTTGCTCTATTAACCTGCTATTTAATAATGGTTGATATAGTTTAAACTCTTATGGATGTTAGGCAAAAATTTTTAGTCATTGGAGAGTTTATATAGCATTAAATTACGTAGAGCAAAGAACATTGTATATTGTCAATAAAGCCATGTGAAGTGCTTCCATTAACAAAATGTGTTGTACAAATATTGAATAGAAATTAAATATATTTTCTAATTCATAATAGAAAACATTTAATTTCTAAAAAATAGTAAAAGTCTGCTAAATGTTTTAATCTGAATTGAAATTTCTTTCCCTCCCTTTTCAAGGTCAATTAAACCATAGAGAATTTTTTTAAAAGCATATTTTCATACTTGGGTAGAATTTTTTTTTGAATACCTTTTTGAATCATTACATCAAATTTAAAAATTATTTCATATTTTATTTATTAAATTAAATATATTACACAGACCAAGAGAAGTAATGTTACACAAAAATTTTAATTATGCCCATTTTGACTTATAAAATTTTATTTTTTTGCAAAATATTCTTAATTGTGTTATAAATTACCAATAAATTAAATACATGAAAAACTAATGTTTACATTAAAATATTGGTATTTAGAATAAAGGTACATTTCTTAAAATCCTCAAATATTATACAAATTGCATGATTTAGATGCATTACTCATTTTTTTAGGTTAAATAAGTTTTTAAATCAGTATTCCTAGGGTATACAGGGATATTTTTTGCCTAAGTGTGTATATTTGTATGATGAGATTATTGTTTACTATTTTTAATGTTATTAAACTTTTTAGCTTATATTAAGAATGAAAGAAAGTCAATATTCAGCAGTTGTTAGAAGTGATAAAATATTAGAAAAATCAGTAGAACAAAATTATACACAATTTCATCATTGGTTAATTACTTTTTGTTTTGAAAATTTATTTTTTGATGAAAATTTTGCTAGACGTTATTTTGTTCTTGAAGTTTTGAATCTTATAAGTACTTTTTTGTCTTTAAATGAAACTAAAAAACAAATGTTCAAGGACACAAAAAATATTTGTTTATTATTAAACTGTATTTGGGATACACACGAACAAAACAAATTATTGGCAGTGAAAATATTGAAGAGTAAATCTTTAGAAAAAATTAATCTACCTGTAAGAATATACTTATCTTTTTTGATAAATATGTCTTATTTTATTTTATATTTGTCTACAGAGTGAAATTTCAATTGAAGACATTTTTAATATAATCAAGGTTTTGGTTTCTAGTATAAATCCTTCTGACTGTATAACAGCTGCATATCTATTAGAAGTGATGATTTATTTATCTAACAAAAAGTAAAAAATTTTTTCCCTTTTCATTATTAATAAGTTTTTCGTTGAGTATATATAAGAATAATCGTTTATTTAATTTTTAAATGTTTTAGTTCTGAAGAATATACACTTGATATTTTATCTAATTTAGCTAAAATGCTTGAAATAGAAATAAAATTAGCAGAGAAAAGTATAATTTTAGCATCTGCAAAGGGACCAATGTATGGAATCATTCATACCATTAGACATTTAGTTAACACCTTGAATTGGGAGTAAGTAATAATTAAGGCTGAGCTGACATATGCAATATTGTATTTATTGGTATCCTGCTATTTACACTGATTACCATCTGTATTACTCCAAATTCCATAACTTACATCTTAGAATTTTACTAAAAATAAGAAAAAGATTTTTTAATTTTATGTGATGTTTTATATTTACTTTATTTTGAAAAAAAAAAATTTGACCTCTGGATTTGTCTTCATGGTGAAAATGACTACTGTATTCATAAATATGCCATTTTGTGTTAAAATTCTGGGTTTTGTATTTTATCTTATTTTAAAATACCCGACAAGTGGAGTATACTGAATTTCATAAATATAATATAAATAAAATTGATATAGCATAAAAAGTTAAATTTATTTAAATTTTTATGCTTTTTTTAAGTATTGAAAAGTAACATTGAAATGCAAACTAGCTTAAATAACCATTTTTTTCAGTCGACGGGAGTGACGTACGATTAATAAAATACAAGTGTTACTGACTCGGCAGTAACACTTGTATTTTACGCGCTCAGGGTATAACCCCAACCCATAACAAGGTTAACTTGGTAAGGAATTTTTTGCATTTTAGCTTCGATGCGAAGCTGAGAAGGTATTAATTTTACCATGATGTGTTTATTTTTTTTTTATTATTTTTTTTTTTTTGTGTCTGTCACTACATTTTCTCAGCTCTTACTGGACCGATTTCTTTNTTTTTTTGTGTCTGTCACTACTTTTTCTCAGCTCTCACTGGACCGATTTCTTTTAACAATACGTCAAAAGATCACAAATTGTATCTAGTTGAAGACGTTACCCTTAAAAATTTAAAAATTTTCCCTCGTTCCCCGCAAATGTGGGAAATATCCAAAAAAATTACAAATTTAAAAATCGACAAATTTTGTCATTTTTTTCACTTTTTTTTCTTAAAACTTCCATAACTTTTTCAAAAATCAACAAATCAACATAATTTTTTTTTAAACTAAAACCTTAGATATTTTCCTTTCATTTGATATAATTTTTTTGAAAATTTAACACTTAACCTGCTCATGGGGGGGGATTTAAAATTGCAACTTTTTTACAAAAACTAACTTTTTCAACTTAATTTTTGAAAATGTTCCGGAAATACTGCGTCCTTTAAACATATATCAAATTAAAGCTTATTTTATGTACTATAAAATGAAAAAAAAAAATTTGTCCCGACACTTTATCTTCTGCATGTAAACGGTTGCCGTAGTTAAAAAAACACTATTTTTGTGTTAAAATTTTCGATTTTCAATTTTTAATTTTCAACTTAAAAATGCTATAACTTTTCGAAAAATGCATGTATCAGCACAATTTTTTTTTTTCTAAATACATTATAAGTACATCTTCCATTTGACATACTTTTTATTAAAATTAGACAATTTCCCCTTATATAGGGGGGGTTCAAACTTTGGAACATTGTATAAAAAATAGAACTTTTTCAACTGAACTTTTGAAAATGTTCCGGAAATACTGCGTCCTTTAAACATATATCAGATTATAGCTTATTTCATGTACTATAAAATGAAAAAAAAAAATTTGTCCCGACACTTTATCTTCTGCATGTAAACGGTTGCCGTAGTTAAAAAAACACTATTTTTGTGTTAAAATTTTCGATTTTCAATTTTTAATTTTCAACTTAAAAATGCTATAACTTTTCGAAAAATGCATGTATCAGCACAATTTTTTTTTTTCTAAATACATTATAAGTACATCTTCCATTTGACATACTTTTTATTAAAATTAGACAATTTCCCCTTATATAGGGGGGGTTCAAACTTTGAAACATTGTATAAAAAATAGAACTTTTTCAACTGAACTTTTGAAAATGTTCCGGAAATACTGCGTCCTTTAAACATATATCAAATTAAAGCTTTTTTTATGTACTATAAAATGAAAAAAAAAAATTTGTCCCGACACCTTATCTTCTATGTGCAAATGGCTGTCGAAATTATAAAAAAAATGTAATATTTGCGATAAAAATCACCTTTTATAACGATGTTTTTTGTACTTAAAACTGCCATAACTTTTTCAAATATTAACTAATCAAAATAATATTTCTTTATATTGAAACCTTAGGTAATTTCCTTTCATTTGATATCATTTTTTTTTGAAAATCTAACACTTATTCTGCTCACAGTGGAGATCTAAAATAGCAACTTTTTTACAAAAACTAACTTTTTCAACTTAATTTTTGAAAATGTTCCGGAAATACTGCGTCCTTTAAACATATATCAAATTAAAGCTTATTTTATGTACTATAAAATGAAAAAAAAAAATTTGTCCCGACAC